TGTGTGTTTGAAGCTACTCAACACCCATGCTTTTGCTGGTGTAGATAACCTTGGTTCTTATAAAAAATTAAGAGACATTGCTTGTTTGATAGTTAAAAAGCTTTCAGGACGGTGGTGTCTCAATTCTAAATTGAATGAAAGCTTTTGAGGTTTTTCACGTAAAAACTTCTTTTGTCGTTACTAGTTGTTTTTTTTTATTTTGAGTGTGTGTTGAATTCTCGTGCAACTTTGAGACAATAATTTATTATTCTCTCGCCACGAATCTTCTATTACACATCAAGTGTATAAGATTTTGGTTATTTAAATCACATGAAAGCAAAAAACCTTCTGATATGCAAAAAAAAAGCAGGTGGGAATAACTTTACAACCGTAAATACCACCTATGTAAGGCTGTCAAAATAGCTCATTATTTATAAACAACTAGTGTTTAACTCATTGTGTAGCTCGTGTTCGGTTTGTTCGCTAAACAAACAAGTCGAACACAAGCAAGCTTTTAGCGCTCGATATATAAACAAATCTTTCATGAACAAATATTTTTTTGTCACGTTCGACTTGAAATAAAGAAATAAGTTTTATATATATATATATATATAAATTAAATGTCCCTTCCGAAGCGGGCTTCGGGACTTCCATTCCAGCAACTGCCAGCTTCTTCAAGACACCCCCAAGAAATAGTGCCGACGGAATTCCAATGGTGTTATTTTTCTCTACATCTATTCTCTTTCGTAGTTGGCTAAGCTTCTCCTCTAGAGCATGTCCACGCTCACCGTACCACCTTTCAATTAGTTGAATCTAAAATTGTCTTTTGAAAATACATGCCTCGAGAGTTAGAGTCGTAAGAAGGTGAGGGAGGGAGTAGAAAGCATCCGAAAATTCTCAGCAAAGAGGCCGAGGAAAAAGTTCATTTAAAATTGTCAAGCGTTCTATTTATATGAGGATATTTTCTATAATTAAAGAAAGGAGAAAGCAATTATGAAAACTGCTGTCAATTAATGAAAGGAGAGAAAGTTTATGGAAACCACCCTTAATGAGGTTAATGTGTTGATTTAGTGCTAAATTAGCATTAAAATTGGAATTGAACATGACACTATCAATTGGTCGGCATATTGAGTTTGGTAGATTGGCCGATCAGTCGCATGACGATCGCTCTTATCGAGGTAAAGCTAGTCGGCAGGTAAGTGGTGATCGGACCTCCTTGCAGGAAGTGAAGGTAGCCAGAACCGTGGGTCTGATTTGTCGATTGGATTTCAACATTGTGTGTCGGCCGACTCGATCGAACAGTTGATCTTCGGCTAGCTGATGTGGACCATGTTCATTAAATTGGATGTTTCGATTGTCTGACAACATCCTTAATCATATGATTTCTTTGAGATTCATAATGACAACTTCTTACATAAAAAGGTTTTTTTTTATGACATCCCCTAGACTTTCTTCCTTTGGATTCTAAAAATAAATGTTTGAAATTTGAGTCATTCCCCTTTTACACATCTTTGTTCAATCTCTTTGAAAAGTCCTATTCCATCGAACTTCTTGAAGATAATATCCCCTGATTTTTATCGAGAGTTTTCTTAAGTGACTTTGGTTATCTAAGATATAATTAACTACAGGGGCTTACCCATATCGGAAGCTTTTCCAAACTCAGCTTAATATAAACTCTATTTAATTTTTCATATTAAATAGACGAACTGATCGACTTATAATAAAAATAGTTTCGCAGACCAAACAGAAGTCATACATTTCTTAGTTTATTTGATTGAGCCTCACTATCAAGTTATGTGTTTATCTTTTGAGATAGATACATAGCTTGAGGTGTAGTTATCTTTCATCTAAGCTATGAAAGATATTGGATCGGTTTGATTTCATATTTTTTTAAGTTTTATATATATATATATATATAAATTAAATGTCCCTTCCGAAGCGGGCTTCGGGACTTCCATTCCAGCAACTGCCAGCTTCTTCAAGACACCCCCAAGAAATAGTGCCGACGGAATTCCAATGGTGTTATTTTTCTCTACATCTATTCTCTTTCGTAGTTGGCTAAGCTTCTCCTCTAGAGCATGTCCACGCTCACCGTACCACCTTTCAATTAGTTGAATCTAAAATTGTCTTTTGAAAATACATGCCTCGAGAGTTAGAGTCGTAAGAAGGTGAGGGAGAGAGTAGAAAGCATCCGAAAATTTTTAGCAAAGAGGCTGAGGAAAAAGTTCATTTAAAATTGTCAAGCGTTCTATTTATATGAGGATATTTTCTATAATTAAAGAAAGGAGAAAGCAATTATGAAAACTGCTGTCAATTAATGAAAGGAGAGAAAGTTTATGGAAACCACCCTTAATGAGGTTAATGTGTTGATTTAGTGCTAAATTAGCATTAAAATTGGAATTGAACATGACACTATCAATTGGTCGGCATATTGAGTTTGGTAGATTGGCCGATCAGTCGCATGACGATCGCTCTTATCGAGGTAAAGCTAGTCGGCAGGTAAGTGGTGATCGGACCTCCTTGCAGGAAGTGAAGGTAGCCAGAACCGTGGGTCTGATTTGTCGATTGGATTTCAACATTGTGTGTCGGCCGACTCGATCGAACAGTTGATCTTCGGCTAGCTGATGTGGACCATGTTCATTAAATTGGATGTTTCGATTGTCTGACAACATCCTTAATCATATGATTTCTTTGAGATTCATAATGACAACTTCTTACATAAAAAGGTTTTTTTTTATGACATCCCCTAGACTTTCTTCCTTTGGATTCTAAAAATAAATGTTTGAAATTTGAGTCATTCCCCTTTTACACATCTTTGTTCAATCTCTTTGAAAAGTCCTATTCCATCGAACTTCTTGAAGATAATATCCCCTGATTTTTATCGAGAGTTTTCTTAAGTGACTTTGGTTATCTAAGATATAATTAACTACAGGGGCTTACCCATATCGGAAGCTTTTCCAAACTCAGCTTAATATAAACTCTATTTAATTTTTCATATTAAATAGACGAACTGATCGACTTATAATAAAAATAGTTTCGCAGACCAAACAGAAGTCATACATTTCTTAGTTTATTTGATTGAGCCTCACTATCAAGTTATGTGTTTATCTTTTGAGATAGATACATAGCTTGAGGTGTAGTGATCTTTCATCTAAGCTATGAAAGATATTGGATCGGTTTGATTTAATATTTTTCTAAACTATATATATATATATATAAATTAAATGTCCCTTCCGAAGCGGGATTCGAGACTTCCATTCCAGCAACTGCCAGCTTCCTCAAGGCACCTTTAAGAAATAGTGCCGACAGAATTCCATTGGTGTTATTTTTCTCTACATCTATTCTCGAGTAGAAAGCATCCGAAAATTTT